AAGAAAGAAAGAAAGAAAGAAAGAAAGAAAGAAAGAAAGAAAGAAAGAAAGAAAGAAAGAGAAATCTAGCTCTTCAGGTATTTTGGAGAGTTGCACTACCAGAGTCCTTCAGGCTTTAGGAGAACATGAATTAATTTAGAATATTGAATGTATTAATAAGGCGTCAAACTCTTGTTGCCCTGCATTCAGCAACACTATCTTCTATTGGGACTTCTGTTGGCAGTAAATCCATAGGATTTTAGGGAACTGGGTAGTCCACTCCTCCAAAATCTAGCTTAAAGAGCATAAATGTTCCAGAAGCACCCTCTTTCTACCTTTTCACTCAAACCAGAAACTCCCTATGAATTTGTTAAGCCTCAATTTTAATTCCTCCATTTAGCTGAAATATATGTAGATATAAATACTTCCCTTGATTTTAAGGCCAGTTTGAAATATGACTTCAGGTGCTAAGACAGGCAACTGTTTATGAGCACAGAACTCTTGACCTCTGCACCTCAGCACTTCTCAGCTCCTTGTTGTGCTCTCTGGAAGCCAGAATAGGAGTCCCAACTGGCTACGCAGAATTGCTAAGGGAGACGGGAACCTTCATGAGTAAAGTAGGTTCAGCAGAGTCTTTAGACAAGCCAGTGTATGGCCATCTACCCAGCCACAAAAGGCAGCAAACTAAAACCAGCATGTTGTGATACTTCAGAGAATAGGACAAAAATCTTCACAATGCACTGCAACATTTTAGAGAATCTGAGATGGTAGCCCCAATGCCCCTGAAAGCGGTGGGATTCCCAGCTTCACAAAAGGCTTTGTGACCTCAGATCTATGCCTGCCCTGCCCCCACCTCATAGGCAGCTCACTTCATTGCGAGGATCTTGCCATCAGGCCCATACAGAGTCCTCCGGCTCTGACACTACCAGTGTCCTGAACTTGATGGGTGGTGCTCAGACCTGGAAAGAGGGATGAGGTTGGTGAGAATGTACAAAGGGTGATACAGTGTAAGAAAGTGTAAGAAAAAAATCTTTATAGTAAAATATCCATTGCTATAAGCCACCCTGGAAGGCCCCTCTCCTTGCTTTGATCAGACTCACCTTATCCTTCTTCCCACTTTCTGAAGCAGTTATGGAAGTCTTCTCTTTTGGGATTTTACTGAGTGTTTCTTGAGTGTCTCTACCAAGTGTTATTCATAATATAGTGCATGCTGCTGCTGAGTAGCGTCCAGGGGAAAGACAGCCTAATAAAGACACGTGTGTTCTCAGCTACCTACTCACCATGTCCATTTCCATGTGACTTTTGGTTCTTCCCCAACGTCAAAAACGACCTTGAAAGGGAAACATTTTTAATCAATTTAGGACATGTAGGAAACCACTACAGCACAACTGAAAACACTCTTGAAAGAGGACTTCCAGAACTGCCTCAGAAATCGGTAAGAACAATGGATCAGTGTGTTCAAAGTGAGAGGATTTTGAGGAAGAATAATGGAAGTAGACCTTCTTGTGTAATTAAGTTTTTAAATTTAAACATTCACTGTATTTTTAGATCATACCTCAAAAGTGGCGAGTGCATTAGCAATGGCCTAGCTCAGTGCTGGGAGGGGAGGCACTCCGTAGGGCAGAAATCGGTGAGCACTGCTTGTCTTTTAGCTCCTTCCTTCTCCCAGAAGGTACATCTTGTTCCCAGGGAGGCAGCAGAGACTCCTGTCAATCATCCTGGGGCAGGAAGCATCTCTTCATCACAGCACACTCTGCGACCATCATGGCTGTGCTTTCTCTCATCGCTTTCTCTTTCCTCACTCCCACATGATCCTAAACACAGTGACACCCCACCATCCCCACCACAGATGCACCTGGCTTTCAGCTCAGGCTAGTCAACTAGAATAAGGTGGCAAAGACCTGAGGTATGGGAACAGCCAGCATGGGTGGGTTGGCGGCTGGGTTTCCACTGTGCATGTGTAGCGAGGGAAATTAGCCAAGGAGACCTAAGAAAGTAGCTCTGTTCCCCAGGCCTCTTTTTCATTGCCTGCGGGGTCAGGGAAATGACTTCAGAATTTCAGGCTGTTTAATGCAAAACCACTTGTTGATGTAATACTTATGTGCTGTGCCCTCTCTCAGTGGAGTCCTGAGCTGCTGGTGCAGATGGCACATGCTCCATGCTGATGCTCTGCGATGGATCTCACAGGCTTGCTCCAAGAGACTACAGCCTGTCAGCTCCCTGGGCCATAGCTGGTCACTCTGCAGCAATCAGATGACTTTTATCTAAATCTTGACAACTTCCATTGCCACCTGATAGTGACTCAGTTCCTCCATTAGGGCCAACCCACAGAGCATTTTGTGGTGGAGGCAACAGCCCAGGGAGGAGGGGACTTTCTCCAACATGATCTGTCCCCACACAGTGTGACCATAGGGTTCCCCTGTGGGCCTAGTGGCAACTGGTTTCCCAGTCATAGGTGACTCTAAAAACCATTCACTGTAGTCTGGGAATGTAGCTCAGTTGCAAAGCATGTACTTAACATGTACAAGGCCCTGGGTTTAAAAAAAAAAAAAAAAATCTCCCTGGAAAAGGAATCATTTGCTGAGAAGCTATTTCCAAAGGTCTGTGTGAGTGTAGAGGGGATGAAAACTGGTGTCATTTATAAACTCAGTGAGAGCAGGTGCGTCTTGGTCAGTGGGAAACTAAGCAGGCTGCAGGGTGCTGTCTGAGAGTACGGTGTGTTTGCCAACGTCTGCAGGTGGCGGAGCAAGAGGGCAAATGGAAAAGCAATCCTTAGGGATCAGCCAGACCTGGACCTTGACTCTGGTTCTTCCACCTCCTTACTGTTCTGTCAAGTGACTTCACAGTTTCTTTACCTCTCTATGGAATCAGTGGAGGCATGACAGATGCCCAACTCACAGTGTTTTTATTCAAACACAGAGGAAAGGAAAGCATACAAAACAGAAGGCCTCCTGAGGCTTCTCGTTGCTATGTCGTGGTGATCTGGAGGCTGGGGAGCTGTGGTTCATACGCTTCCCCATGACACAGCACTTGGAGACAGATCACATTCTGGTTCTTACAGGTTAATTCTGTCCCTAACAACATGTAAGGACTCCATCCACGTGAATGTTTCTTGCTCTCCCCTTCCATGACACCTTCCTCCCTCAACTATGAAGAGTCACTTTTGCATTACAAAATACTTAACTTCCCTGGCCCAGACATGTCCAGAGCACCTGGGGATAGCCATGCCCCTGCTAGAGCCAGCCTGTGAATTCCATTTAGTGAATGCAAAAGAAAGCCTATCCTGCTCCCCGCCACTTGGGCCCTGCTTCTAGGGTCCCTATTCATTAGTGAAAAACATTAGACGCGTGTATAAACATCACATTGTCTCACTAGTGTAAGAGCCTGGAAGTGTAAATAAAATCTGAAAAGTACAGTAGATACTGTGAAAGGGAGAGAAACTACTCAAAGAGAGGGAACAACTGGGGTGAGAGAAAGGAGAAAAGAAAAAAAGGGAAAAAGAAACATATACGTATATACACGGAATACCTTGGATAATTGTGCGGCTGATTTCATCTGGTCTGTTGAAATGAACAGTTAATGTGTAATTTTTTCTCTCTCTCTCCTTTTTAATTTTTATGACTTTTTTGACCAGTTTTGTGTGCTTATATCTGGTAATCTGAACAACCAATTTGAAGACAACAATATGCAGTGTAGCAGCCATTGTGGAATTCTTTTCATTTTGTTTAGAGAAATTCTATAGTTTTAATGACTTTATTCTATTTTAAAAATAAAAGATGATAGATAGATAGATAGATAGATAGATAGATAGATAGATAGATGATAGATAGATAGATAGATAGATGATTGATAGATAGATAGATAGATAGATGATAGATAGATAGATAGATAGATAGATAGATAGATAGATAGATAGATAGATAGATAGATGATAGATTTTCTTTCTTTTTTACAAAGAACTGGAGGTATAGCTCAGTAGGAAAGGTCTGGGTTTAATCCTTAGTACAAAAAAAGAAGTCATTTTACTTTTCTAATTTAAGCCCTTAGCAATCATTCTCCATCTATTTTAAGAATTTCAGACAGGTAAACATTTGTCATCCTGATTCTTTTTTTTTTTTTTTTTTCACAACCAGGGATTGAACTCAGGCCCTTGTACTTGCCAGGGAAGCACTTATTCCACTGAGCCATCTCCCTGGCCCCTTGATCCTGATTCTTTCAAACCTTTTTTCTGGAAAGCTAATGTCATTTGACAAATATATCACTGCTAGTAGGTGACACAGCTAGGGATGGAACAGCCTGGGCTCCTGGCCTTCATGAGCACTGGGATGCTGAAGGCCCTTCATCTTGCCAGAGGCACCAAGACATCAACCCCAACCTTGAGAGAGCGAGAGCAGGTTGTCAGGGAACGGAAGGGGTGGAGGAATGGAGGAAAGGGATCAACTGTGGTGTTGGGGATCACTGGAATTTGGGGTACATGAACCCCTTGTGAAGAAAAGATTAGGCTCTCCAGGTAGACAAAGGCCCTGAGTGTCAAGAATTCCATCCTCTCAGCAGCATCTAAGCCACGGGTGCTTATAAGAAGCATGTGAGTTAACAGAGGTGACAGGCAGGTGTCTGTGCTGCCTGGGCAGAAATAGCATGTTTATGTACCTAGCGGTGCTTGGTTTCATTTTTAAATAAGACATTTTAGGGGCCGGGGAGATGGATCAGTGGAATGAGCGCTTCCCTGGCAAGCCCAAGGGCCTGAGTTCAATCCCCGGTTCCAATAAATAAATAAATAAATAACATTTTATTCCCCCAATAAGCTCTGTTTATGAGGAGTTACCTCCTCTTTGAATACGCCTCTCCTCCCTGTTTCACACGTCCTCCGTAGATGCTGAACTGTCTCCTGAGATCCTCGCAGGTAGCAGGCAGTCTTCCATGGTGTGAGAAGCCCCTCGACCTAGCCCAGGTCCTCACCCTTGTGCCTGTCTCTTGCAGATCATCGGGACCATTCCACTAATGCCTAATCCAGGGCCTTCGAGCCAAGCAGCAAGTGGCACTCAGGGCCTTCAAGTGCAGCCTATCACTCCCCAACTCCTGACAAATGCCCAGGGCCAGATCATCGCCACGGTCATCGGGAACCAAATCCTGCCTGTGATCAACACCCAGGGCATCACACTCTCTCCCATCAAGCCAGGCCAGCAGGTAAAGGTCCCATGCCAAGGCAACCATGTCCCCTTCCCCTTCCCCTCCTCCTCCTTCCTGTTCTCAATCCATGAAAGGTAACTTTTACATTGCAAAACATTTTTCACTAATCCTAGCATATCAATACTTATCCACTGTAAGTTGCTGAGGCTGCTGCCTATAAAGAAGGCATGAAATATAGGAAAATATGATTATTAATTTCACTAAAAGGTGGTAATCTGATTAGGTTTTCATTCAGATATCAATTAGATATACAGAGCAGTAAAGCAGAGGCTGTGCTGTCATGGGGCAGGTGGGAGCACAGAGATAGGAATGACTTGCTCTGACTGCAGAATTCTAAATTTTCCCAGAGAAAAATGGCATGGGAACACATGGGCAAGCATTAACCTGGTAAACAAAGGGGTGACAACATTAGCCTGTAGCAATTAACAACATTCCCAGGTAGTGGGAAAAGCAGGCATGAGGCCAGGCGATCGATAGGAAAGAGGATGGGCATGGAGAAGTAGGAGAAAGGCTGATGCAGAAGCAGAGAACAGTCATGTGACCCTGGATGTGTTAGCCAGCATCTTTGTGCCCCTATTTCCTTCTGCATACAAACGGGACAAAGCAGGGGTTTTCCTACTGCTAAGAGAAAATACCTCCACACAGAGTTAGTCAAGGTGAAAATTCTACATGTTAACTCTTAGTTCAAGAAAAGTTAATGTACAGAATTTTCACCTTGACTAACTCTATATGCTGATATCTGCAATCTAAGCAACTACATTGAGGAGAGCAATGTGTAATACAAAAACCATGCTTGAGTACCTGTCATCTTGGTCTTCTAAATGTGCACCATTTCTGATGTCATATTAATTATTACTACACTCTCTTTAAAATATTTTCTAAAAAGGTAAAAAAAAGAAAAAAGAGAGAGAGAAAAACAAATATTTAAGGTTTCTTGAAAGCAAGCAGTAATATTCAATCATATGTCCAATCTTATATAACTGTATCTGTTAATCTGAGCAACAGATTTGATGATAAAAATAGATATATCAACCATTGTTAATCAGCTATGCTTGTTTTGAAAATCTGCAACTTATGTATTGTTGTATGTTACCTTGTTTCTATCTTTGTTTCTTATTTTTGTCCTTTTTTTGTTTCTACTTTTCAAAATTAAATTAAATTTAAAATAAAACTCCCTACATTAAAGAAGGAGAAAAAAAATTTAAAAAAATAAAGAAGGAGAGTTACCTTGGCTTGCAATCTTTAGAGGACTCAGTCCATGCTTGCTTGGCTTCAAGACATGGTAGAAGGGCCTAGTGGGGAAAGGTGCTCATAGTGTAACAGCCAGGAAGAAGAAAGAGAAAAAAGAGGACCAACAAGGGACAAGATTACACTCTTCCAGGTCATGCTCCCCTGTGACTGCCTCCAATTGGGCCCCATCTTCTAAGATCCACCCCAACCATGGGTAGTATCACCCTCACTATCCAACCAGCTTCTAAATATCCCATCTCTGAACACATGAGACCTCGTGAGGATGTCTGAGATCTAAGCCATGACAAGCAGCACGTACCTGACAGTGCTTATGAGGAGTACATGAGTTCACATAGATGAAGGCTTAGAATAATGTCTAGTAGAGAGCAAGCACTAATGTCATTGTGACAATAGCGGTGGTGGTGATATGATTTACTCTGCCACCCTGGAACCTATAAGAAGTATTTTTAAAGGTAAATGGCATGACTGACTTTAGTTTTTTTCAAGAAAACAACTCTGAAAGCAGTATGCAAGTTGGCCTGAAAAAATGTTGTTAATATATCACTTGGAGCATGCAACAAAACACAAGTAAGAATTAATGAGCGCCTATAACAGATAGCTGAAAATAAGTATGGATTCATACTAGAACTCAGGGCAAGCCAGCTGAGCTGAGAGACATGGATACATTTGTTGAAGTTGCAAATACATGGGACATGCAGAGAAAGCATGAGTAGAAGAAGCATGACCCTAGAGCCATCTGCGGAAACACCAGCTCTTAAGGGATGGAAAGGGAAGGGGAGAGAAGAATTGGTGCATAAGCAAGAGAGGAACCAGGAGCATAATCATCTAGTATCCTGCAGTGTCAAAAAAGGAGGATGTGGACAAGTATCAAATGCTGCAGAGATGAAATTAGGTAAAGGCACCATAGAGAAGCATCAGTTCCATTTCTTTGTCATAATGTTTTAAAGTGTGGCCCATCTCTGTTTTAAACACCTAGAAACAAATTACTTGTTAACTGGAGGAATCAAGTAAGAGATGGCCAAGGATAAAGACCTAGTTTCGTTTTGTTTTGTTTTGTTTTGTTTTGTTTTGTTTTGTTTTGTTTTGTTTTGTTTTGTTTGGCGGAACTGGGGATTGAACTCAGGCCCTCGAGCTTGCCAGGGAAGCGCTTATTCTACTGAGCATCTCCCCAGCCCCCAAAGACTTAGTTTCAAAGTTGGGACTGGACATGATGGGCCACAGCTGTAATCTCAACACTCTGGGAGGCTGAGGCAAGAAGACTATAAGTTTGAGTCCAGCCTGGACAACTTAGTCCCTTAGCAAGAACCTGTCTCAAAATAAATAAATAAAAAATAAAAAAAAACAAGGGCTAGGGATGTAGCTCAGTATGAAGGCTATAGGTTTAATCCCTAGTGCTGCAATCAATCAATCAATCCATCAATCAAAAGTAGAAGCATACATGAACAAAAGAAAGCTGGAGGAAGGGAGCTATGAATACTAACAGTGAATATACTAGCAGTGTACAGCCATGTATGACTTGCTGAAAATTGAATAATGTAAAGTGATGAGCAAGGAAATAAATACAAAAGAGAACACATCGATGTCATCACTCATCTACAACAATGCTGGAAAGTCTTCCAGGGACCTCAGCCACGGCTTCCAGCCGACTTCTGATCTACCTGTGAAAACAGCCACTTCTCGATGGCACTCAGAGGCCATATGTGGAAAATCCATTTTCTTGCTCAATTAATATCTCAAACTCTGTTTACCACAGAGATGTCTTCACCACTTGCTTGTGTCTGGCACTGCACCCGGAAGCTGGCTGCGGTGGTGGTGGTGGGCTCCTAGAAGAGGTGCACATTCATTAAAGACTCACCATGAACCTAAGTCAACATTGTGAAAAAGAAGTGAACAAATTATGAGAGTGGTTAGCAAGGAATTCTCATTCAGTAAGGAAGTCAACACAGGAAACAGCAAGCCAGGTCTGAATATGCCTCCTGGAGAAGATGAAGCTCTGTGTTCCCTGCACCAGATCTAAACCTGTACCCTGTGGAGCCAAGGTCCCCGGGAAACCTCTCCTCTTCATCTTCTTCTTCATCTTCATCCCAGCAGTGGAGCATCCCTTCCAGACCTACCATCTCCCAGCTCACTTACTTTGTTTACTCTTTGTGAAGGTCTATTTGCTTCCTCAAATAAAACAAGATTCTCTGTTTTTATTGGCTTTTTTAAACTTTAGTTCTAGCCATGTTCATAATTACTTCCAGGTAGAAAAAAATGAAAAGTTGGTCTCTTTTGTGCAATCTGTTAAAATCTAAAGCTATTTCTGTCAGCAAAACCAAGTTGTAAATTGCCCAAAAGGTGATGAATTAGTTAGAAATCATTAACATTTAATATAAAGTAGCTCTCACTTTCACCTTGCATTTCAAGGGTGGGTGTGTGGGTGACAGCTATTACATAAAATGATTGCTCTAAATTTAAGGGGTGACAGTTTGGATACAGAAGGGCCTCCTCAAGGAATCACACCCCTCCTCAGTTCCTTGCCCACAGTGACTGTCAGGAGTCCAGTTCTACCATCTCTCTCATGCACCCAGCCACTGCAGAGGAGCTTCTTCCCACCACACCTATGTGCCCTGGCATGAGCCCGTGTGATAGCTGAGGGAGGAGATGATTTGCTAGTCTAGCCACCACCTCCACCACTCTCTTCATGGCAGAATCAGAGACCTAGCATCTGGGAAGAAGCAGCCAGCTTCTTGGGGATGTACCTTGCAAAGCCAACTCATGTCAGCTACGAGTTCTATTCCATGGGTGGGATCCCCTTTGTTGATGTGCATGCATACGCCTCTCATGTGTGTTCATGCACCTCTCCTGTGTGAGGGAAGGAAGACACGAGCCCAGCCAGAAAGAATGATATGGAAACATGTCCCAAATGCCTAAGCCACAACTGGCTCCAACAGGCCACCTACTCAAGGCCTGAGTGAGAGTTGTAGCCCAGTCCCAGAAAAACCAAGGGATCCAGTGGTAAGTCTGGTCAGAAACATCAGGCAAATGAGTGACGCTAATTCTTGGCATCAGCCCTGGTTGAGGTGGCAAATGAACAGGAGATGTTTATCCTGCATATAAACATCCGTGGGCCTCAGGATCATGAATGCCCATAGTCAAAAAGTAAAAAACTCAGAACCAGAGGTATAAGGATGGTGATCTTCCACTTTTTCTTTAAATACTACCTTTTACAGTGAAGAAATATAATATGGATGATCGCTAAAAAATAAAGGATTTCTATCATCCAGTAGAGAAGTTTCTCAAATTATTTTTTCAAGTGATTTATGACAAATGCTTGATCTCACAAGAGCATAGTTCTGACAATAAAATATGTCATAAATTACAGAAGTAGAGAGTTCCCTAAACCCCATTCAGAAGGAAGCCCATTTTTGCCAAATAAATTACATAGTTATCAGACAAGATGACCTGGAATGATTGGTTTTAATTTTAAAATGAATAATTATGTTCTTAATTGAAATTCTATATCTGCCTATCATTAACTAAAACAGACTAAAGAAAATATAAGAATAGAGTACCCATTCCTCTTGATGCTTTATTTCAGTGATGAAAAATCAAGAAAAACCTAAAAAGTTGTCATCTGAAACACAAACAGTATTTAAAAATATATATATCAGGACCAAATAGCCCTAGATACGATGTTCACAATATCACATCAGAGACCCTTGGTGAGTAGTGCAAGAAAAATAAAAGTCAGAAAAAGACCAGAT